TAGATAGGTATATTTTTCCGACAGGATGCTGTTCCTGCTGCCTACTGTCTACAGCATGGGTTATGGCCCTAGAAGACATTTGTTGGCCTTTGCTTGCAGTGCTGTGGATTAGGACTGCAGCTCTACAAGCTTTTCCCTCTTAAATGTGGGCATGAGAGGGCTCAAATACCGGCTGTCAAAGTTTTTCCAGCACCTACTGTCTTTTTCTTTTGTGTGACAAGTGTGAAGTGGGTTTGCAAGGAGGAAGAGGAGGCAAGTAATGAAGATTAGTGGATACGTGTGTCTGGGAACCCTGTCATTGCCTTTTTGTACGCCACTGGTAATAACAGTAATAAATCTTTCTGGTGAATGAAGTGCAGGGCTGTTGTGAATCCTTAATTATTTGGCACACAAGGGCTTCACAAGAAATTGCCTCTCACGCCAAGCTCTGTGCGTTAATCCCCACTGATACGTGTCACTCTTCATTTTCAGTCCAGTTACTAGAAATGGCTAAGTTAGGACCATTACTTATGCCATGCATTAACTCCGCTAGCTGCTGTTGCCAAATCAAATCAGTTGTACACTCTGCCTGGTGAACACCTTAGCTGTTACCTTGTCTACATAAGTAAAGTTTGAACATCAAATCGTCAGCAGTATGAATATGAAATGTGCAGAGGCGAGTTGGTTTGCATGCGCCCCAACAGTGGGGACTGCAGCCCAGCAGATGAAAACCTGGAGAAAGAGCAGGAGGACTTTGTTACTTTCCCAGATTTTTCATAGACCCGCTGTGAGATCTCCGCAGATCTGTTACTGCATTTCTCAAATCTCCTCCTGTTCATTTAGACTGTGTGTTCACTGGAGTTTGGCCTTTTTCATGTGTTTGTATACTCCTGGCACACTTGGAGTAGTAGACGGCAAGAACAGTGACTTGCATGCACTGGGATGCCTTTTCTTTCTCATAAGATATTTTTTGTACCCCAGTGACTAAGTTGTAATACCTGTTAAAATTTAAAAAAAAAAAATGTAGGATGCATATATGCTTTACAACGTAAACAATCCTTCCAATTGTTGCTTTTAAAAGAACATCCGATAGCAGCTCTTATTGTTGGTAGTTAGTTTAAAACCTCATGTTAATTACTTTATACCTCCCTATGTTCTCTCACGTGCATTTGGATAGCTTCTTAACTTTTCATTGTCCTTCCAACAAGGAATTTGACGTGCTAGCTGTGTAATGCTGATGGAGTAGAACCTTGTGAAGTTCAACTGGCTGTGCCAGAATTGTACTCTGTTTCCATTGAACTTGATGAGATGAGGAAGAATAAGGGGGTTAAGATGAGAGCTCACGCCCTACCTTTTTCATGTGTAATTGTATTTAATAGGCATTGGGGCAGGAGGAGGAGGGGGTCAGGTCCCACGATGTTCTCCCAGGCTCTGTAATGCTTAATCACGACAGAATGAGTTAAGAACAATACTTAAAACTCAGCTGCCTCTCAGACTTTGTAAAAAACTGCCACCTGTAGTATAATACGCAAGGAGAGGAGCGTAGTGGGGGCTAACAGTGTATGGTTATTGTGTTGCAGATTCCCGGTGTACATAGAGGAGAAAGCTCTACATACCCTAGCCTACCTTTGCGACGGTGATGCAAGGACTGGACTGAATGGGCTCCAGTTAGCAGTTCAGGCCAGATTAGCAGTGGGGAAGACCACTCCTTTGGATATTACCAAAGGCGGTTCTGCAGATGGCATTGTGATAACAGAAGAGCACGTAAAGGAAGGGCTGCAGCGGTCTCACATCCTGTATGACCGAGCAGGTGAGTACCTGATACGGTTTCTGAGATGCGGCATTCTCAAGAGCTGATAGCCTCTACAATTTCTGTTTCTTCTCCCCCTTTCATACTAGTTGCTCTGGTGAAACAGTGATTGTACTGAAATTTGGCCTAAAAATTACTTTTCCTTTACAGTGTAGCAGGCTCACCCAGAAATTCCTTCTAAACAGGATTTCCTCTTACCGCTTAGGAAGTGTAGGTTACCTGAGACACACATTTGCTGCCCTGTGAACAGTTGCATGATAAAATTATTTATACTTTAAGTTTTTTAAAATATTATCTTCTAAGAGGGTTGCAACGTAAAGAGGGAGGAGTATTTTGATGAGGAGATTTGTTCTTGGAAGGCTAGAAATCTTCCATTGCACTTTTACTCCTTTGAAAGTCTGGGAAATGTTCACATTCACAACGCTATGTTATGTGAAAACGTGAGCAGTTTGCTTTGTTTTTAGAGTTGCTTTTTAAGGTAATGAATTTTGTAGCTTGCTTTTAAGGCAGGTCACATAAATCTAATTGCATTTAAGGCTTCCTAATGTGATAACCACTCTTGCTAAATTTGTGACTTGGCAATGTCAGGCATCACAATAGTTGGCCACTGTACCATTTTACGTGAGAGGGTTAAAAATCAGAGAGTGAATATTAGAGATGAGGTGAATCCCCTTGAACACATATGCTAGTTCTTCAGCAGTACTTGAATCACCGTACAGTATAGTATCAAACGATTATGCCAAGCAGTATTTGGAGAACTGATGGATTTTTGTTTTGCCACTGTATCTGATATGCTCAATTAACTGTCACTACTCAAAACCTGTGATGAGGGATTTCTCGAGGTTGTTTGTAAAGTATGTGTCTGCTTGCAGCCTTCTTGCTACAAAGAGGAGATGATGGCTTATTGTCAGGAAAAAGTCAGCTGGGCAGATACTGATATGATGGCAGCTGAGAAGTCAAGGGTAGGCAGGGGGAGGGAGAAGAAAAATTTTATGGGGTCTGTGGCAGGAAGAAGTCATGATTAGGAGGAAGCGGAAAATCTGAGCAGTTTACTGATGTGAGTCTCTTGCACCATGTAGGTCTCTTGTGTGTTTGCTGTCGCCTTGTGGCCACTGTCACGTAGAACTCGGCTGTGTCCATTGCTCCCAGCCCTCCTACGCCTATTTGTTCTGTTAGAGATGGCACAGAGTGCCTCTTCCTGAGGCTTGTGTCAAGTCTAGGTAGCATGTGTCAGCCCCTTTTCTGTGACAGAAATCCTTTGAGCTCTCTGTAGGGTTTGGGTTGGTTTTTTTTTTTTTTTGGTCAGATTTTCAGAGAGGGGTGAGAGCGGTGAAAATTCTCTTTTTCTTGATTGTGTGAATGCCAAAGAGCCTGCCACAGAGATTGTCACAGTAGCAGGTTGCCCGAGTACATGCCTTTACAAAATTTCTCTCTTCTGTGGAGTAGTCTGTGTCTCAGTTGTCTGTCTCACTTTTGTCCATAGTAGAGACAGCTGTTTGTCCTTTTATGTACAAAGGGCTTCTGGACAGAGGTTGCTGTATAAAGATATTTTTGTAGCATGTTTTAGCTAATTCTTTTTGATTCACAGTTGTGGTAGTGAAATCTACAATCCTCTAATATAAACTGCTTCAGCCTTATAAAGTAGAGGGACATGATGCTGTCTAATCATGATAGCAGCAGCATACATTTGAGTGTAGCATGTTCATGTAGAAAGCACCAAATAATCGATTAGTGTTCAATCAGAGTTATGTAAATGTGGAATTTTGATTTTACATAATTATTTATTTTTGGTCACCTTCTGCAAAATTTGCCAAATATATGTAGTTGGGCATTCTTTTATGTACTTTCACCAAGTACTCTAGGAAGGAAATTATTCATCATCCAGTCATTAGGCTATTGTTCTGATGGGTGTGCAGACATGTAAAGACAAGATCTTTGTGCAGATAATCTATGCATTTTAGCTGGAAGGACAAGGAAACAGCTCTAGTCAAATCTCACTGCCAGCAGCCACCTGCAGCCCTTTCAGTGTGAGGGGAAACAAACTATTTAGTCGTATTTTAGCTTTTATTTGCAGTTTTTAAAATTTTGATTTTTGGAGAAAATGATGCAGCAACCAAATTAATTAAAGTTGAACTGCAGATGGACAGTGAATAAATTTTTTAGATAGAGTTGTATTGTCTCTTCTTTCTCTTACATATTGTGTCTCTGCTAACACTGATTTAATAGCAAATACCAAAGATAAATATCAGAATAATTGCAGGAGTTTGTCTCACTGTCTATGTGGTAACATAACTTCAGTTATGGTAAAGACTGGGAACGTGTTAAACTGAAGTTAATTCATTCTGTAATCTGGAACATGGTTGTTCTTTCCTTTTCTATGGAGAAGGGAAGAGAAGGTGTCTCACACCATGATGGTTTTTGCCAGCTTTATTGTTTTCTGCTGGACCAGAATGATAAGTCTTTTTATCCATGCTGTTGCTCTAGTCTTTCTTCCAAGGCTTTCTTCTGTCCTTTATCGATGAGCAGTAGATGTTTACATTTGGCTAAGGCAGCAGATAATCTGAGATGGGGACTGTGATTTTATTTTTGCCCACTACCTTATAAATAGGGATTGCTTAAGAAGTCCAGATGTTAATTATGGTCAGTGAATGAGGCCTTTTCCCTGTCTTCTACCAATAAGACTTCAAATACATCGACTTCTTAAATTAGTTGGGAAACTCTTCATGAGCACATAAAGCATTTTAGGGGCATAAATCAACAGGATTTATGCATCTGTATACATTAGACACTAGAAGATTCCGTCATCCACAAAGCCTCTTGTGTAGCATCTTGTTTCTCTTCGCAAGGGTATTTGCCTTTGTGGGAACTGCATAGAGCAAAGGTATTTTGATTCCAAAAACTCTTTAGAGTTTTGGTTTCAAGAGGCATCTGGGATGCAGAACAGCAGTGATAGATAAGTTGGCATGTGTTTGTCTCTCAACTGAATTCATAAGGCCAAAATCTATATGTTGGCTAACCAGCCTGAGAGACAGAGCTAATAAATAAAGGTCTGTAAAAAGTTCTGTCTAATTTTTTTTAAACTGCTTCTGGTATCTCACATAGAATATATACGTAAACTGTATTTTTTAAAAAGAAACATAAAACCTCTTTCTCCAATGCATGTAACTGTATTTTAACTTTAATTGAAACTGCATTTAAAGTACAACTGCACAGTTTTTCTGAAGAAGTCCAAGTCTGGTGTGTAAGTAATGTCATTATGTTGATGACTCAAAAACCAACATTTAACTGGGAGAGGAAGGCGATAAAGGGAGAAAACTGTCGCCTTTCTCAGCCGTCGTACTCTGAAGCCCCCTGCAGGTATGTATCTCTAGTCCCAACCTATCCGCTGGATTCCTTCCGCATCTCCAGCTGGTATCCCCAAGTATGACACTTTACAGTAGCCCAAACAGTGTATAAAAGCACTCCAGCAAAAAAATCCGGGCGAGCGCAACCTCTGGAGATATTTAAGGCCATCTTCCTTACTTCTAAGAGACCAAGAGACGCCTCTTCCAAGAGGACGATGCGAGTTCAGCTGCTTGGGTTTATTGCTACTAAGTCAAGTGTTACAACGGAGCATGGATGCGCTGTTTGTGTTGGCACGAGTAATGACTGCATACCACAGGGCTCTTTGTGTGGAGTCCTAGCAAAAATAGCTGTCTGCCAGCCTGCGTACGCCGGCAGCGCGTGTATTGAATTCCCCACGGAACTGCACTGCAGCGTGAGCAGCAATGCACGAAGATAGACCCGGTTTCTGACCTGGGAGGTGGAGGTCTTGCTGGCTGTGAAAGGAGCAATTGCAGCGGTATGGGTGCTTTGGTTTTCAAACTCATGTGTGTGGCCTTTTATTTTGTAGGGCCTACAAGTGACGGTGATGTGTTCTGATACGGCCCTTGGGCGGTAATTCCTTTTAGTTGTAGAAAGAGGAGAAATATTAACAGATGGCTGTGCATGCAGCCAGTTGCCTTTATAATACACACTTAGCTGTGAGCCAAGGAATGCCAGGCACTTTAAAAAATTAAAAAAGGTAGATTATGTGGAAAGTTTAACAACAATATTGCAGCAAAATACTCTTACAAGTTTGATTAAAAGAAATGCATAAGAATCAGAACCAGCTGCACAGAGAAAAATTGCAAGCAGGAAGGGCCTCATTCAGTGCTCGTAATGTTGACCCTCTATTTTTAACTGTAGCCCTAGATCATCTGTGGAATGGCTTTGTTTCTCCTTGGAGTCCATATCTAATCTTGTATTAAACTTTTTAATGTTAAAAAAAAATTCCCTGTAATTCATTCAGTCTTCCCACTCCTTATTTAGCAGTCTGGCATTTCAGTTTTTGTTTGTGGGTTTTTTGTTTGTGGGTTTTTTGTTTCAGCTGCTTACTGAAGCAGGACTCTTCCAGTAGTGCAGGTGTCCACAACTGAACTCAAAATTTCTTAGGGGCTTGCCAGGGTTGTGTGCTGTGATCCTGTTTCCTCCAGATTGTGTAATGTGCCATCATTGTATACCCACAGCAAGGTTTCCTTTTTTTCCCCTAATACAACAAACTCGTGTTTGATTTACTGCACACTTTATTTTCAAGTTTTAGTTGATGTAAAATTTCTTTTTCTAAAATATCACTAGTGTGTAGTACTGCATTTCTCTGATTCTTTTGTTGCCTTCTCAGGGTTGTGTGCGTGTCCAAAAGCAATGGTCAGTGGTTTGTATGTGCTCATACTTTTTCTCAATTAGGAGATATTTATATAGAGTCTTCTTCCTAACTGCATAAAATATCCGTATTTTTTTTTCTTTTGAAGGAAAGGTCATTAGGGTACCACAACCAAATTGTTTGCCTTGCAATGTTTAAAGAAACACCCTCCTTTTCATCTGCAGTTGCTCTGTTATGCTTATGTAGTTAGTGGAATGGTCCATGTGGCAAAGCATGAAGATGTTGACAACATTAATGAACACCATAATCATGTATACATAAAAAGAACTTGAAAAAGCAGGTTAAGTTTACCTGCTGTGATCTAGTAAAATATATCCTGTTCCCTTAAATGCATTCCACTTAATTTTCTCCTAACGGCTTTCTGTATCTCTTCTCCCCCATTCTAAATAGGAGAAGAACATTACAATTGCATCTCTGCCCTGCATAAGTCTATGAGAGGCTCAGATGAAAACGCTTCCCTTTACTGGCTTGCTCGAATGCTTGAAGGTGGTGAGGATCCACTCTATGTGGCAAGGAGGCTGGTGAGGTTTGCAAGTGAAGATATAGGTCAGTATTTACAATATTTCGTGTTGGGATATTATGTTGAATGAAGATCTGCCAGACTTCTGGTTTCCAAAAATTTGATGTTTGAGAAAAAAAGCAGCCCCAAAACTGCTATATGCAAAATAGGTACAAAATACTGAAATGCTTCACATCCAACAAAAACTTTGTGTATGCAGACAGAGACGTACATGTGGTGTCATTGTGATGATTACCTATTGCAGGAGAAACAAATATTTTTGAGGTCAGGTTTTGGCAGTGTATTAATATGGGTTCTTTTAAACTCTGGTCATTGTAGGTCACCAGTAAACTTGTGTCACAGAGAATGTGTACTTCAGGGATGCCTGTTTTTTAATGACTCTGGAAGGTGAATGCCTACCCTGACTTGCAAACTTCAGATTTGATAGCTGGCTTCCTTGTTGTAAGGCATCTTGATTGACTTATCCAAAGTAACAGATGCAGCAACATTTTTAGCACATAGGTGATGGGTGAAGAGTTATGAGATCTGGGGAAGCTATGTCTGTATAGCAGTATTTCCCCGTTTCTTTCTCAATTCCAAAAAGTAAGTGAATCATAAACGGGCAGCTGCTGCTCAGGCTGCCACCGTGTGGCAACAGGTTCAGTCTGAAAATCATACCCCACAATTTGCCGGGCGGGGAGAACAGAAGAAGGAAGGCAGTGGACGGAGGGAGTATATCTTATGTACTGCAAAGTATTGTACTGGGAGTTCCAACATCTGAGAAAGCAACTTTGAAATACTCATGGATAACCTTCCATCTTACAGGGGGGGCGGGAAGAGAGACAGTAACTAAAGTAAACTGACTTTAACCTGCTTTTATCTGATCCCTTTTTGTAGGGCTGGCAGATCCTCTGGCTTTAACACAAGCAGTTGCTGCTTATCAAGGCTGTCACTTTATTGGAATGCCAGAATGTGAGGTAAAGGCTTCATTAATTCACTGATTTGAAAGTACTACAAACTGTAAAACCTATCTGTAATTATAAAAAGAAATAGATTGCAAGGACAAGGCAAATTTAGTTACTTGTTCATTCAGCACATCCCTTCTTTGACAAGTAAGAGAACATCATAGCTCTTAAAATAGATGTTGTAATTTGAAATAAAATTCACTGCTTATTTATTGTTAAAACGTGGTATGTGAACTAACGTCATTTTGCTCTGTCCATTTTTTTTCTCTCTGTTATAAATAAAACAATATATTCTGTTATTCTAAAGTAGCTATTACTTTCTAGTAGTGCAAATCTTGAAGAGCTGTGTTGTTGTTAAATAACAATATTCATACTATAGCAGCAGGCAGAGGTCTGTTTAAAAACATAACCCTTGTCATGCTGCACAAACAACCTGAATAACAGACCTTTTCCCAAAGAGCTCAAAAGAAGTCATTTAACGTTTTCCCTTTTCTTGTTTCTAGGTCATTCTAGCACAATGTGTAGTGTACTTTGCCAGAGCACCAAAGTCTATAGAGGTATACAGGGCATACAGCAATGTCAAAGAATGTCTGAGAATGCACACGGGACCTCTGCCGCCTGTTCCGCTGCACCTGAGAAATGCCCCAACGAGGCTCATGAAGAACTTGGGCTATGGTAAAGGCTATAAATATAACCCCATGTACAAGGAACCTGTAGAGCAGGACTATCTACCAGAAGAGTTGAAAGGAACAGACTTCTTCAAGGAGCGAAAAACGTGACTGCCTTGCTCGGAATGGGTTTTGATTTTGACTCACATTTGTACTGGAATGGAAATTCCCCTCACAGGTTCAGCCATCTCTTAGTGTGGTTGAAAGTATTAAGCCACTGAGCCTTTCAGATACTTTCTTATCCTTCTGGTTTTACTGCTGTTAGTCTGAAGGTGTTTTGTAAAGAATTGCAGTTAGGCAGTGTAGAAATGCAAAAATAAGCTTTGTCAGTATAGTGCTGTCACCCTCTGGTCCAAATGAAGTGGAGAAAAAAATGAGAGACTTGTATTTCTGGCTCTTGCTGTGACACAAGGAATATTATTGTGCTGCTTTTTAAAATCAGTATCTATTTCAGATTTTGAGAATGTTTATTTTCTGGAAAAACAGTAAATTGTACCCCCTCTGCTAAAGTATAGTAAACAAAATATAATTATAGTGCAATTCTTGCTCTTATGATGTTCCAGAGACTAATTTTTTACAACATTTATTAAACCAATAAAGTTGTTAAAAATAGTGTCTATGCATTTGTTTAAATATTCTTATGACAGTTTTGAAAGTTTGACGTTCCTTTAGCTTTTATCATCCCTACTTTCCAGAGCACGTTTAAATCATTTTGGAAGTAGAATGGTCATGAAAATAGCTGAACTATGTTAGGTTTTGAAGTTGTATCACTTAATTTTTTTTATTGTGTGATGACAGTTTGGGAAGTGCCTTTGGAAAGGAGATTCCTGGTAGTGAAACATGCTCATATATTTCCAGTTGTGCTTCAGTAATTCCAATAGCTTTGAATTGGAAAGCGAAGAGACATGAATTGACTTCCTGCTTTTATAATAGAGAGTTTGGCTTCCTCTTCCTACTGAAAACATATCCACATCCAAGATTGCTGTTGACTGAACATTTCAGCAAGTGGAACGTACGGTCATGGCAGGGTCCCTGATGTTGACAACATTCCTTCACTGAAGTGCTGATTATTTTTCTTCTCCTCAATCCTTCTTAAGTGTGCCGTGGTCCAGTGTGCTGAAAAGCCAGCAACCGCAAAACCAGCATATGACTGTGCTAACGAGCAGTTAGGTAGCAGAAGAGGACCGTGTTTGGCTAGAATTACAGCAGATAATGAGCAAAGAAGATTTTAATTACTGAAATGCTGAGGAGCCACTGGAGCAACTGTCTGCACTTGTCAAAGTGCCGTGGAGTCATCTGGCCACTGGTGATGAGGATGGGTGTCTTGGCTGAAAATTACCACCTACACAGTAGCACAGCACAGTTACAGCTGGATTTGCTTGGTAACTGCTCAGGATTTGCTTGCTACATACCCCGTACACCCTTGTTACCAGGCCTGTACTGGTTACCTGATGGACTTCAGGGATTCCTGTCCTGATCCTGCTTAATTTATGAAGTGTGATGAGGTCAAAACTTAGCACTTTATGTAGAGCTTCTGATCTTTTTGCTGTTCAACTAAGAATGCTACGGTCCTGCTAAAAGAAGGAGGTGGTTCTGCTGACTTCCCTGAGAGGTGTCGGAAGGTTACTAACTCTCCTCCAAAAGGACTACTTACCACAGATTTTTTTTTTTTTTCAATAATAGCAAATCATTTGTGTGTTTTCTGATGCGTTGTGTTGGCTGAACAATGACTGGTGCGTCATTTCACAATTTACAGTATTGCATTTAACAGTTTTTAAAAACTTGTATTCAGCTACCTAATTAAATTTGTAAATAAGTAATTCATTGTTGGGCAAAGGAAGAAAACTGGTTTGCGCTGAAGCCATATGGAGCTCTTCGCACCTCTCTGCAGCTGCGTACGTGTGATACAACCCAGCCACCTGCTGGCCAGCTACCTGGTATACACAAATTGTAGGCAGGTATTTCTTGACAGCAGAGGTATTTGGTACTGTAGGGGGCTTAGATCAGAGGGGATGCCACAACTGTGCATCCAGAGTTCATTCAGAGTAACTTCTGCAGACCAGGAGATCTGTGGTCTGAAGATGCGGTTCCAAGTCAGGAAGCCAACTTTAACTTTCCTGCAGCAGGAAATTCAGCTGATTACTCTTCATGTTTCAAGACAGATTGCTGGTCCTTGGCCTTGATCGAAGGTTTTCGATACACAACCTGCAAAACCTTATGCTAACAGTCCATGAAGAAACTTCTTGATTACTGTCTTCTCTTGACCAAAGGGTATTTGTGTTGGAGATCAATTTTGTTGTGAGGCTTCCAGCTTGGTAGTCTTCATATGAAGTTCTTCTGCATGACAAAAACGTAGGACTTAAGCCAAGGATTGTGGTGTAACTGAAATGTTTCAGAAATTAAACTGATTGCATGACTGTATACTGTTAGAGGGTTTGAGTCAGATTCTTTAAAAGTTTCTATGTGTTCTCCTTCCTCAAATAAGTACCCATATTCTTCACAGCAGGATGGTTTATCAGGGTGGGAGCTACTTCTCTGAGATTGTGTCTGCCCTTTCAAGATACGTAGAAAGATGGGAACAGAGGTGAAAACCTGGGTTATGTTAATCCAAAATACTCTTGGCAAAATTACTTGTGCTATCAACCAATGTTCATTTTAATTCTTAAGACACAGAGAGTTGATGTAAATATTCTTTAAGTAGCCCATGATTTGCAAGCTGACCCCAGCTTGCAGAACAAGTCAAATCAATGGATTGGTAAACTTAAAGACATTTTTCTTGTCTTACAGGTGTACGGGAGGTTGGTGTGCTTCCCTTTGATGAAACTGGCAGTTAGAAGTGTTGGCCTAATGGAGTCTGAGGTATTTTTCCATTCTTATTTTTTTTCTATTAGCAAAACAAATGGGAAACCTTACCAGACTTCCTTAACTTTACTATACCTACTAATGCTCAAATCCAATTCACTATAATTTTACCCAAGGGAAACCCCAGACTCTAGTTTCTTGCCTGCAGTTGACAGAAATCTTTACTCAAAGCCTTAATATTCTATTTACAGCTCTTCTTTTAGTTATTTAAGACTGGATCAAACTTCCCTTGTTACAACAAATTGTGTCCCAGACGTTACAGCAAAAGTTGCACGGGAGTTTTGCAGAATGGTAATCGTGTGTTTTGCCCCATATGCCTCTCTAGTACCCCCTGTTCTGGAGCAGCTTGGTGTATTCAAGGTGGACCTGATGAAAATCCTCTGTGGTGGTCTCCACTCAGCAAAGATTTGGTGGAGTTTAACTGATAGAGCCTCTCTCAGCCAAAAATGTCCGTGGCTGTAGAGGCTACAGCCAGTCCAGCTGTGCAGAAATCATTCTTTTCTCTGCAGTATATCTTGAGTTGCCTGCAAGCCACTGCAAAACTGCAAACAGAGGCAGTGTCTCCTGTGTTCTTAGTGCTCCTGTGATGGTCCCACCTCTGTCCTGCAGCAAAAGTGCAGAGGAAGAAAATTGGAGAAAATTAACATATGCTGCTGCATGGAGAGAGCAGAAGTGAGGCACTAAGAAAGCCTGCAGGTAAGACAAAGTAATTTAAAAGCAGTTATCATCTGTAGCTGTTTGTCCCCTTGAATGTGGCCTAAAAATTTCTGCATCAATAGACGCGAGAGCTGGAGGTGACAGGAAACTGCAACAATGCTGTATAGTCTGTGCAACAAATACCTTGAGTTTCCAGTGGAAGACGGTCTAGGGGTGATACTTAGGCATTCTCTGTAATCAATATGAATTGTGGTTCAAGCAAATACAGATTCTTCTGCCCTGGTCTGAATAGACTGTGGTTCTCCCTTTGTAAATACTTAGTCCATGCTCCTTTCTCCCACCATCAGCCTGTAAGCACTCGTGCAGTATCCATACAGTGCTATACTGCAAGTTTTCTCTGACTTGGCAGTCCTCCTCCTGTTGTTTGGAAGGAGACAAAGACGCATAGCCCTGTGCAGAGCCTGCCTCTTTTCCTCATCTACCGCCTCACACCTCCATCTACGACATGTGACGTGATACATAAATATTATTTTATGATGTGTTGTGATGTTAAGGAAAAAGGATAAGGGAACTATTCTCCACACTCTCCTACTGATGATGAAGCAATGCCTATGCATGGACCAAATTGCAAAGTCTCTAAAAACTGCATGAAAAAATTGTTTTGGTTAGATATATCGTGAAGGTAATAGATGAAGTATTCTGTACTAACAGATAAGGTATGACTTAAATGAGTATGTGGGGATGGAGATGTAGGCATTGTCTTTCCTGTAATTTTACAGAGAAGTTATGCAACAATAGAAGTTGCAGAAGATTGTTATATTAAGTATCCACAAAGGATCATTCCTTATTCCTCACATTACAGAGAAAATACCAAAACTGTAAACCATGAACTGTAAACTGTTAAGTCTCTCAGCTGTCTAGCAGGGGCATTGTGCTTTATCTGGTAAAAAACAACTGAGATGGGTGAAATCATAATATGACTGATTTTTTTTTTTTTTTAAATTAATAATTACAGTGTCTGTCCCATAATAAAGATTATCTGGATTTTGAAAAAAAGCAGATGAGGACCTTCAGGCTAGTACTAGAGTCATAAAATATATGACACCAACAATTGTACTTGAAGGGGAAGAATTTCTCATACTTTGTAAAACTTTTCCACAACCTTTCATGCTACAGTGTATGACAGCCAGAAGGTGATTACTCATGGAGCTCTGAGATTAAATGCAAAGTGACTGACCAGGGTCATACATGTACTAATGCAAGAAGTAAGGCTTTCCATATCTGTGAGGGCTTAGATATAACCATTTACATTCTGTGGTATGCATATGAGAAGTCATTGCCTAGAACAGAGGATATATTGCTTGGTTATTATCCATTAGTGGGCTATAATTGTTTTTTCAAGACCAGTTTAACTCAAGATTTACTTACTAACAAACACTGAAGACAATAACAAAAACATGGGTTTATTTTGCTTTGCTGGGCTGGTATTTGGAGGACATTAATGTGTTACTATTCGGGTCAGATATTAGAGGACATTCCTGGTGCATGCTTATGGAGTATGCTAGGCAGGGGATTTAGTGATGAAGAATACCAGCAAAGTGTGAAGACAGGTTTAGAATTACTAGTGAGACATGTCAGACTCTTATTCTTGGTAATGTTATCTTTTATATATTGTAAGAAATTGAAACTACCAAGATAATTCAGCTGTAAAATATGTCACAACTATTCTCTTCTGGGGTTGGAC